CTCTCTCTCTCTCTCTCTCTCTCTCTCTCTCTCTCTCTCTCTCTCTCTCTCTCTCTCTCTCTCTCTCTCTCTCTCGAGTGTGGCAGTGTGTGTGTGAGTTTTTGAACTTTTTCTACAGTTAATGATTTATTTCTTTATTTGTTTATATCATGGTGAATCTCGCACGGGAATCTAATCTGTGTTTCAGTTGGTTTTGGGTCTGGTAGCTACCGGCTCGGTGGTGTGGCAGTATGCTGGTTGTGGAGGCTGAGTTTGTGAAGCTAACTCGCCGTCATGCAGTCAAACTGGTGCTGGCAGTGATCTGCTCGGTGGAGGAGGCAGGGTTAGTGGTCGGACAGGTGGTCGGTTACCGCAGCGTCAAGTCGGCTCCCCGCATGAATGGAGCCATAGTCATTTTCCTTGATAGTCTGGATAAAGTGCGGGACGTGGTGGAATCAGGAGTCGAGATCCATGACACCCCACTCTGGTTCTGCCGCTAGTTCCAGCAAAACGGATGACGATCTCCAATGCTCCTTCGTTCATTAAAAACCCAGTACGGACACATCATGTCCCAGATTAAGATGGTGTCTCCGGGCTGCAAGTCTCCGCTGCTCAAACATGTCATATGTCACCGCAGGAAGGTTTACATGGTGGTCAGAGACCCTGGGAACCTTAACCTCACCCTTAACTTTAACATCTACGTGTTTAACTAGGTGGTGTTTGCGACAACAGAGACCATGACATTTTTCAGGATCGGTTCAGAGGGACATTTGATTAAATCCTGTCTGGACAGGAAGTGAGAGGACCGGCTGGCTGCCGGGCGTCGGCCCTGGCTCTAGGTGAGGAGCCGGGGGCTCTGGCCGGGCATGCTTTTGCGGGGCCAAGTGGGGTTCCCGGTGGTGGGGTCCCCCCTGAATGCTCCAGTAATAAAGACACGGTTAAAAACAAAGTACAACAATGTAAAACAGCTGAAACACTCATACAACCAGAAAACAAGGAGAATCAATCAAATCAATCAATCAAATGTATTTATATAGCACGGTATCACAACAGTTGTCTCAGGGTGATCTTAAAAAAGACAAAATCCAACTTGTTCCACATCGAGCAAGCATGAGCAACAGCGGGGCGGAAAAACTCCTAGGTGGAAGAAACCTCCAGCGGAACCGGGCTCAGTGTGGACAGCCTTTGCCAGGACTGGTTGGGGGAACAAAAGGAAATAAAGGGGGAGATGGAATGAGGATGACACAGTTAATGAGCCAGAAAGTGAAATTCTAATGAATAATAGTGTGTGTGTGTGTGTGTGAAGAGCTGATATAGGATGAGGATATGTCTGATGAAGGGCTGTTAGAAATGTCTCAGATGAGAAAACACTCAGAACCTCTGCAGAACCGAGCCAAAGCTGTTAAAGCAAAGAAAGGTGGAAAAGGTGAGAAGGCCTCAGCAGAGTCGAACAGTGATGAAGGTCTGAATCAGGAGGAGCAGCAGAAAAAATACTCTACTGGAGACATTAAAAAGTTTGTACAGAAGACTAAAGGATCCAGGCTAGAAGATAATTTCTCTGACCTGATTTCCTTTATTAACTCAGCGAAGCCTCTAACCAGAAAGGGTGATGTCAATGAAGAAGATGTTCTGACAGACCAAGAAATATATAGATTAAAAAGCTAATTGTTAAAGTTAGAGCACAGATCCTTGATGATGATGTCTCACAAGAACATTATGATCTTACTCTGTTTGTCGCTGGTGTGTTTTTCTCTGATCTTCTCAACATTTTTACTCATGTGTGAATTCCATGTTGGCACCTTTAACCTAAATGGAGCCAGAGATGAGCCACGATGTTCCAATTAATGAATTTGAAGAGAATAGATGTGATGATGGTACAGGAAACCCACACTGTGATGTTAAGAATCAGACTGACTGGAGGAAAGGATGGAAGGGGGAGGTTATTCTGAGCCATGGCTCCAGCTGTAGAAACCCCTGTTCTCCAGGGGTTTCCTCCCCTCCATCTGTGAGGTGAGGGAAATCATCAAGGGCTGTTTACTTAAGATTGAGACACAATTTAACTTTAGTACTTATTAATGTATATGCACCAACCAACAAGGTGGACAGGATATCAGTGCTACAGGTTTTATGTGACACTATCAGAGACTGCAGGAGCAATGAGTATTTGTTTTTAGGAGGTGATTTTAACTGCACTGTAAACCCAGAATTTGACAGGAATCATTTCGAACCTCATCCGGCCTCTTCACACAGGTTCACACAGCTGACTGAAGCACAAAAGCTTTCAGATGTGTGGAGGGTTTTTAATAAGAAGCTGAGGCAGTACACCTGGAGCCACTGCAAAGAAAATGTTTTATCTCTGGCCAGGCTGGACCGTCTGTACTCTTTTAAACATCACGCCAACATTTTTAAAAACTGTCACATTGTTCCTGTAGGGTTCTCTGACCACTGCCTTGTTTCTTGCTCTGTTTTTATAAAGAATTTTCGGTTACGCAGTGCGTACTGGCATTTTAATACCACCCTGCTTCAGGATAAGGTTTTTTTTTGAGAAACCTTCAAATAATTCTGGCACAAGCAAACTAAATCTGAGTTTGCCAATGTCCAACAGTGGTGGGACTTTGGGAAGACTCAGATAAAACAGCAGTGTCAGCAGTTCAATCATAATGTCACTAGAGATTTAACCAGATCTTTGAAGGACCTGGAGGCTCACGTGGTAGAACTGCAGGGTTGAGCAGATTATACAGGAGATCTAGGGGTTTTAACTCAAATCAAATAAGTCGGCTTTAGCCAACCTGCTGGGTGTTACAGCAGAGGGAGCTCTGGTCAGGTCATGTTTCTTGGACGTCACCCAGATGGATGCCCCATCTCAGCTCTTCTTTGGTCTCAAGAGAAAGAATGGACAGAAAAAAAAATCAACTCTCTACGGTCCAGTGATGGTTCTGAAATCTCAGATTCCTCTGTGATTAGAAAATATGCTTTCAGCTTCTACACAGACCTTTTTAAGAATGAACTGACAGACAACCCAGACATCACAGACAGTTTTCTCACTGGTCTCCCTAAGGTGTACAATGAGACCAATAAAAGTCTGGAGGCTCAGGTCTCCAGACTGAACCTCCAGAACAAGAACTGCATGCTGACCTGATGACACTCCAGAATGGCAGAACTCCAGGATGGTCTCACAGTGGATTTATACAAGTCTTTCTGGTCTGTGCTGGGTGAGGACCTGTGGAAGGTCATCAGTATAGAGAATGGACGGCTGCCTCTGAGCTGCAGAAGGGCAGTCATCACCCTACTGCCAAAAAAAGGAGACCTACAAGAGGTGAAGAACTGGAGACCAGTTTCCCTGCTCTGCTCGGATTATAAAATACTCTCCAAGGTCCTGGCCACCAGACTAAGAGAGGTGATGGCTTCTGTGATCCACACTGACCAGACTTACCTTGTACCCGGCAGGCTGATAAGTGACAATGTCACTGTGGGGATACTCGTCCCACTCCGGGTAAAGACGGGACGAGAGAATGGGGTTTCACAGTCCTTTTATTTGTTTTACAAGCCTTTTCAGGAGAACACATCCACTTGGGTCTCAGGACCCACACATGCTCACACTTGTATGGGCGTCTTCTCCGGCTTCAGGTACCCAGCCTACTGAAAGAGACCAGAACCAGGTTACCAGCATGCTCTTGAATGACTGATTACCTGATTCTGTACAGCTTTCCGATCACTGGCTGAGTCACTCCTCCCAGGCGTCCAGCAGCTGGCGCCCTAACCACACCCCGCCGCCACAGTTACTTTAATTCGGGATGTTTTGGAGGTCTCTAGCTCAGTGGTTCCAAAACTTTTTGTGCCCAAGGCACACCAAAGGACAAGTCAAAATCTCAAGGCACACCTATTGTGTAAAATAGCCCTTATAACATGTGTTATCACTCATATCATGTACAATATCTGTAAATTAGCATAATTACTTACTAATGCCAAATAAAATGTGACAAAGACAACTATATTACTCATGAAATATTTATCAACAAAATATTTCAAAAATGTACTTGAAACTTTATCAAATTAGGCTTCATCAAAGCAGCAACACACTCATTTAAACCAGACAGGTCACAAAATTCAAAACGAATTCGAAACTCAATGCAAGGAAGCTGCACTGTCCATTAGATTAGATTAGATTAGATTAGATTCAACTTTATTGTCATTGTACAGAGTACAGGTACTGAGACAACGAAATGCAGTTTAGCATCTAACCAGAGTGCAAAATAGCAATAAAAGTGCAGAGTCTGTGCATATGTAAAGTGGAATGATTGAATAAATAGATATATACAGTAAGAGTTGGGTAAAAAAAGAACAGAATTGGGACTAGCAGCAATTGAGGTAGGTAAGTACGGTTAATACAGTAAAACAGTAAAACAGCAAAATAGTATTTTAAGTACAGGTAAAAAAAAGACATTTTTGTGCAAATGTACAGTGTGCAAATGTTCAGTGGTTGTCACTTGTGTGGGGGTGAGGGTGGGGGGGGGGTACAGTGCAAATGATTAGTGGCTGGAGAGGTGTGCGGCAGTCAGCAAGGGGGGGAGTGGGAGATATAGTCTCAGGGGTGGGGGGGGGGGCTATCTCCGTGGGGCAGAGTTCAGTAGGGTGACAGCCACAGGGATGAAGCTGTTCTTGAGCCTGCTGGTACGGGAACGGAGGACCCTGTAGCGCCTCCCAGATGGGAGGAGAGCAAACAGTCTGTGGCTGGGGTGTGAGCTGTCCTTGGTGATGCTGCGCGCCCTCCGCAGACATCTCTTGCTCTGGACAGCCTCAATGGTGGGAAGAGTGGAACCGGTGATGCGTTGGGCAGTTTTCACCACCCTCTGCAGTCTTTTTCGGTCGGCGACAGAGCAGCTGCTATACCATGTAGAGATGCAGTTAGTGAGAATGCTCTCGATGGTACAGCGGTAGAAATTCTCCAGAATCTGAGGAGACAGATGGGCCTTCTTCAGTCTCCTCAGGAAAAAGAGACGCTGGTGTGCCTTCTTGATTATTGATGAGGTGTTAAGGGTCCAAGAGAGGTCCTCAGAGATGTGGACACCCAGGAACTTGAAGCTGGCAACACGCTCAACCTCCATCCCGTTGATATGGATGGGGGTGTGTGCGTCATCTTTCTTCCTGAAGTCCACAATAAGCTCTTTGGTCTTCATGGTGTTGAGGGCCAGGTTGTTGTCAGCGCACCACAGCGCCAGATGCTGGACCTCTTCTCTGTAGGCCGACTCATCGTTGTCGCTGATGAGGCCAATCACCGTTGTATCGTCTGCAAACTTGACAAACGTGTTGGAACCATGTACAGGTATGCAGTCGTGGGTGAAGAGGGAATAGAGAAGAGGACTTAGCACGCAGCCCTGTGGCACGCCTGTGTTCAGGGTGAGGGTTGAGGAGGTGTGGTTCTCTAACCTAACGGTCTGGGGTCTGTTGGTTAGGAAGTCCAGTAGCCAGTTACAGAGGGAAGGGTTGATACCCAGGTGAC